CATGCTCTTATGGAAGCTCATATGTACATATATATAATAAATTTGGTCATTTTGTTCTCTTAATCTTTCTCATATTAATTTGATTATAGTCCAGGCAGAAGAACTTACAAGCGTAGAAGAAAAGTTTATTTTTCTGCCCCCACGAAGCTATAGCACTGGTAATATAGGAATAAGTAGACCAATTGAGCCAAATAGATAGATGCAAACAGTAATTGTTATATGTAAGAATTTAATATGTGGTAAATGAGGCTAATAAATCAGTGGGGAATGGAAGTTCTATTTATAAATTATGTTGGGACAATTGTTAGCTTTTTCAAAACAAAATCAAATTAGATCTTTTCTCCACATTAAAATAAAATTCTAAAAGGAATTTAAAAGTTAAATATAAACTAACCAAACCACAAATTTAAAACAAAAATTGAAGTGTAGTTTCATGACATCTCTGGAAGAGAAAGAACTATGTAAGCTGGGAAGCAAAGAAAGAAATCAAACACAAAGAAAATGAGTGACACATTTGATACTAAAAATCTTAATTTTTTTGTGTGTCAAAGAAAACTAATGGCAAACACCAAACTGAGAAAAGATACTTTCAACAGATCAAGGATAAGTATATAAAAGCCCATAATGTGTTAAGAAAAATAGTAAGATTCAAACGGTCAAATGGGTAAAGTAAACAAAGAGCCAATTCATGAACAAGAAACTACAGTAGCTTACCAACCATATAAAAGACACTCAGTCACTAATCAAAAAAATATGAAATAAAGAATGAAACACCAAATTTCAAGGAGAGTTTTTTTAGAAAAAGAATTTCTGTTTCTAGGGAAGGTGTGGTGAAATGGACACTCTCATGCATTCCTGGTGAGCATCTATATGAATTGGAAGAATCATTTAGGAAAAAATATTTGGTGATGGTGTATACATCAAGAATCCTAAACTGTTCATGTCTTCTGACTTAGAAATTGCACATCTTTAAAATGTATTCTACAGAAGTATTCACAAATACAAAGAAAACTTTATGGACTGAAATAAGAATCATAATGGAATTTATAATAGCAAAAATGGAATTATCCTAATGTTTAAAAATAGATGACTGATTACAGACAATATAGTACAGTCACTGGCTAGACTATCATGCAGCCATTAAAAATAATGTTTTCCCACCCAGGTGTGACTCAGCAGTTGAGCATTGACCTAGGATCCAGGAGATCACAGTTCGATTCCTGGTCAGAGCACAGGCCCAGGTTGCGGGCTCGAACCCCAGTTGGGGGTGTGCGGGAGGCAGCCGATCAATGACTCTCATCATTGATGTTTCTCTCTCTCCTCCTCTCCCTTCCTCTCTCTGAAATCAATAAAGATATATTTACAAAAAAATAATGTTTTAAAATCATTTGTAAAAACATTATGTAGGAATGGGTGTTTTTTTCACATTAAGTGGAAAACTCATCAGAATACAATTATTATAAGAGCACATTTGTGTTTATAAAGCAATTTTAAATTAAAATGTAGAAGAAAATCAACTTAATTTCTAGTAATAATTGCCTTTAGGTTATAAAACTATAGATGGTTTTTCCCTCATTCCCATTTTCAAATTTTCTGTAATATGAATAGATATTAGGAACTATTTTTAATAGACTTGCTGTACTAAAATCTAGATTTATTTATTGAAAATAGTTAAAGAACAACTCACTTTAAATGTAGGTGAGCAATCCTATAAATAGAAAACTTCTTTAGTACTTTATGAGATTCAGTTTTCCAAAACTAAAGAGGGGGAAAGGACATATCTAAAGGCCATGGCTGGGAGTTCTGAACTGGGGAAAGGAGCAAGCATAGTTTTAAAGCACAGTTTACAGTCTGAGGGCATGTGCAATGTTGTATTCCTACAATAAAAATAGAGAAACTAAAACTCAACCAACCCCTCTTGGACAATGGGAGTAAACAGAATGAGAAACTATTCTGAGCAAACGCTACAATCACTGAATGTTAGCTATACTTTCTTGTTCATATGTATATAACACCATTTACATGGCTATTTCTACTGCACATCATAAGCGTACACGTTGAGAACATGGTTTATTTCCAAATGAAATGTAACTTTGTTACTACAGCATAGTACTAAAATGGGGGGGATGAAAGGTTTATGCTTAGCAAAAAGGACCCTTGGCTCAAAAAAGTTGAGAAACTCTAATAAAAGACAATGTATCCTTGTGTCTTCCCTCTGCAGCACAGCCTCGCAGTCACCCTGTCAGACTTGGAGGCCCCAGGGTGCCCATCAAAAGAAGCTTGGGGGACTCCCAATTTGCCTACTATTTTCTGCTACTGCGTAAGGAGGTTTGCAAGGAAAACCAAGTCATAAAAACTGTATTTATGCAAGATTCAGTTGGGGTGAAAATTTAAATGTTTGAGAAGTCCCTACTCGCTTAATTCTTTATGTGACCCTGGCCTACATGGGCAGAAGGCTAAAGTTGTCCTTGTCTCTTGTGTGTTTTACAAACAGCAACCTCATGCAGAAGGCATGGAAAACATTACTATTCCTGGTTTACTAATATGGAAACCAGGACCCAAGCAAGTTGAGCGACTGCCCCAGAGCTCCACATGCCGGCCTCCTGATACGGCGCCGAAGTTCTATGCAGTAAAGAACAGTATTTGCTTTGACAGTTCATTCATTCATTCAGAACTATATATTGCATGTTTATTATGTGCCTCATAATGCCTTTTACATGCCAGGTTGTGTTCCTGGTGCAGGAGACAATGTCCCTACCTTCATGGAAGTTTCTAGTTTAGCAGAAGAATCCAACAATAAATAAGTAAACAAAAAATGCCAGGTTGTTTAAAGCTCCGTGAAGAAAAATAAAGAGATACAGTGTAACAGGGACAGGAGAAGGCACTTGTTTTAGATTGGGTAGTCAAGAGGCAGAAGTAACAATACGTGCAAAGACCCTAGGTGGGGAGCACGCTCGGCAAGCTTAAGAAACAACAAAGAGGCCAGTGTGGTTGGAACCTTTGGCGCATCTTGCCGCACACTGTCCCCTGCTCTCTCTCCTCTGCCCAGGCTTTCTTTGTACCTTATTTTTTACCTCTAAGTTAGAGGCTCCTTATGTCAGCTTCTTAAAGAAGTCCCTTTCTTGGTCCACTCACTCTTCTATCTTCTTTTGATAAGAGCAGGGCCTAAGAATACTACTTGTCTTTCATTGGCCTTCCCCAGTTTCCGCTTGGGAAAAACAATAATATAAGCAAAACATAAAGGTCTGAGCCCAAGAGGTTGAATTGCTTCCGAGTATTTCCTTTGAAGCTTTTATAATAGATGCATCTGGCGTGGCCTGAGAGTTGCCACAGACATGGTTTGACCATTCAATAAATAAACAAATAAACAAACCAACAAACAATGAAAATCCTCTATCACTAACTTTGGTATAATCTTTCTGCACTGACCCAGGAGGTACTTGAAAACCTTGCAGTGCATCATTAGGTACCGAAATTACTACCAAGCATTTTCCCTCATTCTGTTTCTGTCTAGAACCTACTGTGCAGAGCTGGCATTTTCATGGGTGTTTTTATCCTGCTGACAAAAAGTAATTGAGCTATGTACTTCCTTAGAAATGCCCCACGGGTACTGAAAGAAATTGAGTAAAAAAACATATATAATAGTAACAATAGCTTACGTTTACAAAATATTGACTATGTCTCAGGTCTAGTGCTCAATTTTTTACTTGCATTATGGCATTTAATTCTCACAATTCTCTCCGGTAGGTAGCATTATTGTACCCATTTTATGGATAAGAAAGCTGAGGGACTGAGAGATTAACTTGCTGAAGTGACAAGCCTAGCACTGGAGTAGCACAAGATTAGGTCTCAGATCCGCAAGGCTCTGGAGCCCTGGAGCAAAGACGAAGTTGCAACTGATTCAAAATGGGGCATTAGACAGAGACATGCCTAGGTGAAGGGCAAAGCTGATTCATAGCAAGGGTGCTTTCCCTCCAGGTCCTTTACAGCTATTGTCTGTCCTAGCTTTGATCAAGAAGGGGTCCTGCCCCAGGCCCAGGTCTTCTAAAAGAAGCTGAATAAGCAGATCCAGAGAGGCAGTTCTAGTCACAAACATCCCCTCTTGGCATCCTACCAAACTGCATTGCTCTCTCAAAGGAATGGATTTCGTTTCTTAGTCTGCTTCCTCTCCCTGAATGTAATGGTCTTCTTTTGGAATGAAACCGCCAAATGCATTTAAAGAAAGTTGGAGAGAAGCTTTTCCTGCTCTGAGAAGCTGATGGCCCCAAATCTGGCCACCCCACCATCCCAGGGCTCCCCCTTGCCGGCCTCTACTAGAGGTCAGAAGGGAAAGCGTCCATCGGGAGGCTGGCTCTTTCTCTGAGCAGAGGGAAATACCAGACTGCGCGTTTCCCCGCTCAAAACGGCTCCCCCAAAGGTCCTGGGGGGGCCTTTACGGAGATCAGGAGGCCCAGGAAGTGAAATCCGCAGTGAGGGGTCTAAGCCAAAGTGTGGTCCACCACGGC